TCCAATTTAATTGGTTGTTAATGCAATTCATCCGAAGGACGAAATGACGGTTTCCTTTGACGTGACATCATTCTTCACATCCACCCTCCGGGTTTGGCACAAGACATCTTGCGCGGAAAACTTGCGGAGCTGTACGATGAAACTCAGAGTTCACACAAACTAGAAGACTTCATGAGGTTTTTCGAACTTTGCCAAAATAGTACTTTACTCTTGCAGGTGAAACTTATGAACAGGTGGGGGGGACTACGATAGGCTCTCCAATCTCCCGTTTAGTAGCAGATTGCCTTCACCCAACGGCCCGATCTATTGGTGCTGTTACGTTGACGACACGTTTGTTATCTCAAAAAGGAATTCGTTGTAGAGTTTCAATGATCTCCTTAACTTGATCTTCCCAGATATAGAATTCACAAAGGAAGATGATTAGCAGAAGCTACCATTCCGTGATGTTCTCGTCATGCGAGCTTCCAACGGCGAACTATAAACAACGGTCTACAGGAAGGCGATGAACACCACACAACTTCGCAATTTTTATACCAACTATCAAGTGGCTCATAAACGAGTGAGAACACTTTTCAAAAGAATCCAGATTCACTGCAGTAATCCCAAAGAAAAAGCACATAAGGCTAGATACCTCAGCGACCAGTTTATGCGGAACGGCTATCCGAAGGCATTCATAAGCAGATGCCTACGTTGGTCGCCCTCCGAAGACTCAACAAAGACCAGTCTGTACGATATGACATGCACTGCCATACATCAAGGACTTGTCGGAAGCTACCGAGCGTTTTGCTGTGAGACTGGGCGTCGGAATTGCATGCCTTTCGAAGTTTATCGTGCGCAGCCGAGTAATGAAAATTCAGGAGTGATTAAATCCAAGTGAAAAGTCGGGTGTAGCGTATCGCATACTATGCCTAAATTGTCCTCGAAGTTACAGAGGACAGACTAGAGGCATGCTTAGTTCAAGCATACATGAAAATAAGCTGGACATAAGACGGGGTGACGCATTATCAAAAGTGGCTGCCCACAACTACGAGACGGGTCACGAGTTTGACTTCGCAGCCGTGAAGATAATCGCACACGCCGGCACTAACAAAGGTCGAGAATTGGTTGAAGTCTGGGCCTCTCATGAAAACTCAGTCAATCGATTTATCGATCTGGCGTCGGCATGCGTCACATTGCGCAGGCACCTCCTGACTGACGTCACGGGTGGTTGATTGGTCCCTGTTCCTATAACTGTTGCTTGTTTTCCGATGACGCTTTTATCTCTGACGATGGACTCCGGTAAGAGTTTGAAAGTTCAGACGAACAAAACCATGTTTCCGGGGATCAACGCGCGTTTTTCTTCCCTGCCGAAGGATATTTTTATAGTATGTAAATAAGACCGATATAATAGTCCCAGTAACCTTTTGAAGAGATTGCGATCCAAGTGACGCCTACGTGGAGAATAAGTAGGGGATGAAAAGCTTTCAAACTGAGCTCCATTTTCGGAAATTACTGCATACTGCTCAAGTTCATTCGCTTACGAAACCGCACAATTTTCGAAGCTAAGCATCAAAAGCAATTGTAAACTTTTGGCCGATCTCCGGGTTATTTGATGGAAAAAAACATTATCGACCTGCTTGTTGGTACCATTTTTATATTCGACCATTAGTCCTTTGTAGACTAATTTGTCTAAGAATTAGTGGACGCGATCGATCCCGATTGTTTCCTATCCAGTGTCGCAGCTATCATCAGACACAGCATCAGGTAGGTGTAATTCATGCACAAGGATTTGCATTATTGATAGGATAATGCCGCATACATTTGGCAATTAACGGATCCTCTCTTCACGGAAGATGGTTGTCTTTTGGCGCGATAATTGTTTTATGGCTGGCATTCGTGTGGTCAATCCTTGACATTTCATCACCTACGTTGGATGTTGGTGTAAGGGTGGCTTAGCCATCTGACGCGGACGTTGGAAGGAGTGTCGACCTGCGCACTCCTGGAGTGACTAAGCACTTTGACCAAACCATGCCTGAGCATCGAATATAGAGTTGGAAGGTCGTTGCACTTGTAAATAGACAAGGAATTCATGAACCATGACGCAAGCACTTGCGGCTCACAGGTTCTCAGCTCTCGCGAGAACTTCGGCTTCGTCGTAATTGAATGTGTGGCCGGGTCTTATCGAATGAGTCGCCATGTGAAGCTTTTTCTCCGCATTGCTCCCGCGTGTTCTATAAATAAAGACCGGAGCAGTGTCCCAGTTTCTCCGAAGTATTTGCTGTGCCTGCGATTGCACCAGATTAGGTAAGTGACACCAGACATCTCTTGTCGTGGCAGTGAGTCTTTTGATCTCTTTATGGACATCTGCGAGTGTAATATTTGCAAAACCATAGCCCACTTTGCAGCCGCGAATAGCAATAGGCCCTAAGGGGAGATCTGATTCTAAGTTGCGGGTTATTGCCGGTCCATCCATCAAAATGCGGGGCTGAGTATATTCGCTGCTTACAATCGATGGTTTCTGCACTCCGAGGCATCCATGACTCCTATACTAAATGCGTTTATTCTCATCGGACGTCGAACTCGGACTCGTTCAAGGTCTCCTTAATCTGGTCACTATAGTATTTGTAGTAAAAAAATACGATCAAACGAAAAAGACCATTGAATTGTTTGTTTAAATTTTTGATTTAACTTTGCGGGCGGGGGGGTGGGAAAGCAAATTATACTCTTGTCTTTTTTATGTCACCGGACTTTGCGGCGTCTCAATTGCTTCTTGGTGTTGCATGATAGTAAATGCGCGCGATCGAAGAAGGACGTTAGTATTGTTGGCAAAGATAAGAGCGACTGGAATGGCCATTTCTGGCTCATTGGCCGCCAACAGCCAGTCATACCCAGACTCAAATGGTGTATCACCCGAGCCTCCAACTTGCGACTTTTTGATCAGAGTTTAACGGCCTAACCTTGGAGCTACGAGCTCGTTGTCTTGCTGATTTAGGTCGGAAGATATTGACAATCGTTACCGAATGTTCACTGACTGCTAATGCAACTCACTTGTCCCGCTCCGCCTTTGCCTTGGGCCCCATTTCTTGGGCTCTGGCAGCAGCTGAAGAAGCGAGTAATATAGTCAGATTGTTGGAAGTAGAGGTAGGGTGTACTGAATTGAAGTCTGACGAGCAATCATTGCCCTTAAAAGGTTGAGGTACGTCAAAAATTGTAATCTTTTTAAGCATACCAGTTTTTGTAGGCTACCAGAATTCTATAAGTACTCGGAAAGCAAGTACTGGTTTCTTTCCTTGTCTTCACGAAATTTCCATCACACTTATGGAATCATTGGACGTGTTTACTTCCGGCCCAGGCTGCGGCTTTCCAAAATACTGATATTATAAACTATAGACCTATCCAGATGCTTATTTGTTTATTTTTATGTCGTCTTTTATAATTTGCTTTTATTGGCATCTTTTGAAAGCAACAACAGACAACCTTAGCAACATATCATTACTTATGTTGCGTATAGTTCAAATGTTAGTTCCAAATAAATTTATTTTAAATGGTAGTGCTCATACCAAACATTTGTTCAGTGGGTCTTATTGAAGCCAATCAAAGTTGGAAATTATTGTCTACACGCTGAAACCCTAACTTTTGGAACCTCAATCAATGCTCGTTTTTCATGCTTCCACTCTAAGAAGGGGCGTCGAAGTGTTCCTGTTCAGTGGCTTCCATTTTTTTACATTGGCTAGAATTTCTCTGACCAGTCGAGAGCTTTCCCTTTGTGCCTTGACTTTCCAATCGTTAAATTAAATTATAAATAAAAGTGGAGGTTCGGCGGATTTGCTTATTTTGAGTTGAGTTGTGAAAAACTCGAGGCGTTCGTCGGAATTTGAACCCGCGCAGTAGAGAAGGCCTTTACCGGAAGCCAATGCTCTTACCACCGAGCTACAAACGCCTCACCTCGCGCCATGAATTTAATCACAATTGGGTCCATATTACCCGCCCAACTTC